TCTTTTTACGAAAAGTTCATTTATTACATGAAAAATGTAGAATACTATCTTGCGAAGTGCATTGCATGTACGCTTTTTCTTCGCAAATTCCTCGCCGGTTTTACCATTTCTTTTAAGAACCCCTATATCCATGTTTACCTATGCATTAGGAAAGCCCTTAAACATGTATACATGTAATGATCATGAGCAGACATGAGTAAAAAGTTATTTAAACACCTCCTCAGAGGCAAGTTAGGCTTCATCTGAAGCTTCGTTGCAAATTGTTGTGAAAAAAAACTTAAAGCTCAAATTACGTGCAACATAACCTCTTAGTAATATACAACGTCTTATACGTTTGCAGTGCTTTGTTTTTCTGATTAATACATTCCATTATTCGTTTTTAAAGATTGAAAAGGCGTTTTAAGATTCATATAAATAAAAACACTTAATTTGAACGAAACAGTTAAAGTGTTTAAAAAACATCACTAATGAATGTTATTTTGAATTAAACAAACCTAATAATTGTGGCGGATGCATTTTTTAGTTTGTGTACTTTTACACACTTTCATATAACCTTTCTTATTGTAATGGAAGCATTTATATTAAATGATCTGCAAATTTGATGCAGTAAATAAAAGGCAATTAAAGAAGATAATATATGGCCAAAGTATTCACTTTTTCTCATGGATTTTTTAATAGGAGCATAAATCTTGCATTGCCTAAATTCATATAGCAAGTAAAGTATTATTAGGTCTAATCTGTGGGTTGATAAATATCCATATGCAGGAAGGAAAATTTTTACTTTGTAATGGGTTATACGAGCTACGTTAGTGGTCATTTTCTCTTGGTTAAACTAGTGCAAAATTACGAGTATGTTATCTTTTTATCAAATGAAAAGGGATATTAAATATGTATAAATACCTGGTACAGAACTTGGAGCTAACTTATAGAAGTCTAATTAGCAAAAAAGAGAGAAAAATCATTTTATAGTAGTTTATTCCATGGAAAACGAAGATTAGAACTTATTATGTTCACCTAATATATATATAAAGTTTATAGGACAACATGGTTTAGACGAATAAGAGTTTATATATCTAATTATGTGAAGAATTTGTTGCTATTTCTATCATGTTATACCTCCATTTTTTTATACGCATTCCTATTATTTGTGCTAGGCACAATTTGCTCTCCTTTGAATTACCGTTTATCATTTTACGAAAAAGGAACATTTTACTAAATATAGTTAATATAGTTAGCATAGTTAATGTTCTTTTCTATCTTTATATAACAGCTTGTACAGCATTCAGAAATACGTAAATTGTAGAATTGGAATATGTAAATGTAAAAAAAATACTTTAAATAAAATAGTCCAATATAATCATCTCATAATTTCAGCATGAGTAAGAGTAAAAAAAAAAAGTGGAAAGAAATTCTCCTGAAATTTTAAAATAACTATATGGGGGTTAAAAAGAAACATGGAGCAACTACTATACACATATAGTATTAAACGAACTAAAGACATGAAAAAAAATTGCTAGAATGAGGCTTCTGGGCTTATTAATAAATAAACATTTTTGTATTTTTTAAAATATAAAAATATTTCTAAATTGTAATAAATTTAATTTCTTGCATGATTTAGAGAACAGTACTTTATAAACACTTAGGTAAATAGAAAATATAAAGTGCCCCACGCATGTAACATTCCTACGTTACGAACTTTATTCCCTCCTAAGAGCTCCTTTATTCCTTTCTTCTCCTAAAATGCAATAGCTAATGTTTGTCAATATTGTTATTAGAATACGGATTGTCGTCAGTAGGGTCAGGGTATAAGCGGTCACAACAGCAATTATTATAAGAAAAATTTAAGTTTGAATCTTTGTCATTTTTTTGAGCCCCATATAACTGTACACTTCTTTGCAGACTACGTAATATGTTTTTTGGAATGCATCTATTTATTGTTGTGGCGAAATCTTTAAATTTTCCATTGCTGTCTAATTCATGGTATTTGATTAAGTTATTTAATTCCGGGGTTATTGATATATTTAATTTATTTAAGCATAAGTAAAATTCGTTCTCTGAAATTTTGTTACTAATATAATTTTTTATTAAATTCTTCACTGTGTTATTAAAAAAATCCTGTGATATGAATTGTTCTTTCTTCATGTTAAAGTTCTCCCTTCCCCTTAAATGATTTGAAATAACTTCAACATTCTGAATTACATTGTCAGCATCTGTTACATTTGATCCTTCCCATGCTATTGGGTTTCTATGCATGTCTTGAAAAGACGGTTGTTCATTTTCATCAATATTTAACTTTCTCCATTTTTCGTCCTTTATTCTACTTACAAAGTTGTTTCTATTTTTTCGATTTTTACTATCGTTAATGTATAGCGTTTTCATTACATTTGCAAAAGTTAATGATCTGCTTGGGCCATATAAATATAGAGACCTCTCAAATTCCGGAGTAATATCAATATTCCCTCTAATTAGCTTCTCCTTGAATTCGTCATCTCTTAATAAGCATTTATCCCACTGGGAGTATAATTTTCTTATAATTTGGTTTTTTTCTTGGGTATATTTATCAATGTCTTCATACCTATCCTGAATGTCCATAAATTTAGGATTAATGGATTGTTCTACGGATTCCGAATTATTTCTCATCGTTTTGGCAGGGTTATGAATGAGCCATAAATTCTTATAGTTCACAAAACCGTCTTCAGTTACAACGCAATGTTTCATCAAATAATCTATAATGGAACTACCATACTCAATTTGAAACAAATTCAAGACATCAATAAAGGTATTATACATAATTAGTCCGTTCTTGTTTTTATCTCCTTTCTTTAATTCGCTGCATATTTTTTTCATTAAGAGATCGAAGTTGTCACCATGCATGTTGCAGCCATGGTTGTTGTTTCCCATTTTTTCGACCATTTTGTGAGATGTAAAATGAAAAAGAAAAAATAAGGTTATTGCTTAAGTACTGTACGTTCTCATAGGGTACATTGAACAAATTAGACACTCAAGTAATATTAGGTCTTTTTTAGTACATCATTTCCGTAAAAGTAAACTGCTTGTTTTTTCTTTCCTGAATTATTTTTTTCTCACGTTCTTTTGCTTTGCCTTTTTTCTAGAGAAATATTTCCCTTATATGGCCTATTAAATTACAAAAAACGCGTGCTTTGTATATGCGCTACACATGAGTGAAATACGTGAAACATAGACAATTATAATTTTTATATTTCTGATTTGTAAGTGCGGGACTAATGGGGCACAGGACACA